CAGCCTCAACCTGATTTGGAGCAGCAGTTGTGATCCCGAGAAAACGTCCTCTCAAACCCTTGTTCCTCTTCCAATAAAGGATAACACAGCTACCAACCTTGCCTCACAGGTATCCCCAGATCACCAGGACTACAGCAGCCCTCCCACCACCATGAATTCATGATGTGGTGAGGGCCATAAGCCTCAGTTACGCCTTGTGATCCATTTTGGACCACAGCGGGGAAATCTGCAGCTCAGGGAAGGTAAGTGATGGAGTGGTTTTGGTATCCCGAGGTGTGTGAATACGACTTTCTGGGAAGGATATTTTGGGTCTTGCTGGTTTTGGTGGTTCATCTCCATGCTGGTTAGCTCTGAGCTAAAGGCCACCAGTGAGAGTATCACGATGGTTCATGTGACTCCTGCCGTTTTGCACTATAGGCAAAGACAGGTCCATTCCTTTCTCTTCTGATCCGGACCCCAAATAATAGCATCTTCTCAGCTATTTCAGCTTTCTCCTTCCCCTGAAACTTGTGGCTTATCTTGCACCAAAATACCATCTGGGGACAGTACCTTCCAGCCCGTCTCTGTTCCATCACCCCATCGCGGAAAAGCCATTTCAGGATGGTGATTTCATTATACATCATTGATGGGGGATAAATTATTAAAGCAGATTCATAAAAAATGAAAGACATTTTACACAGAGAAGGAGTCTTGACAGTAACCTAGATATGTCACAAAAACTGATTGCCACCACATAGGAAAACCTGCCCCTCTCCAGAGCAAAGAGGGGTAAACTATGAAAGATGCATGAGGGTAGAAGGAGACATGAAGTGACTGGAATGACGGAGTGGGAGATAAACACATCAAGGCAAAGGAAACAAAAGAGAAAAGACAACGGAGGAAAGGGGGAGTCAGTAGAGGTTAAATAATTCAGGTCAGGATTTTTAAGAGCCTTGAAGAAACAAGGGAGCGTAAGTCATCTAGGAATCACTGGGGGGAGGAGGGAAACAACCAAACCAACGTGCTATTCGCAGCATGAAAAAGAGCTGTTGGATTTTCTGTGCCTTTTGGACAGACCTTGGCTGGTGTAAATCAGCAAGGAGTCAATTCAGTTGGGGGTATTTACACCCTTCCAAGGAAGTGGCCCGTAAATCAGAAGGGCAAATCCAACACGTGCAATTCCAGCAGTTTTGGCCACTTTACACCATGGATGCTGTTGCCCTCAAATCCTAATTGAATCCCTCCTCGGTTCTGCCCTGGTCCTCGGTGGATCTGTCTGGGAGCCCTCCCCAGCCACCAAGCTCCTTCAGTCACTGCCTCGTTTAATGGAAATAACCCATCAGATAAGGAGTTTTGCAGCATTAATCCATGTTCATGCTGCCAGTGCTGCTGGTGGGCAAAGCATCTGCTGTGAACTTTACACGTTTCCTCAGCCCTGGGCAATGCTTCTCCCTGAAAATCAGCAAAAGTCCTCAAAGCTGTGAAGCCCGGGACCTACAAAGGGTGAAATCCGATCTGAAACACCCTCCTGAACACTTTCCTCTTCTTTTCCAGTCCTGCTGCTCCTCTTCTTTAGGGGATACATCCTCCCTGGACCAGTTTTATTACCCAGATCCTGGAGGGGGCAACAGAAAACTTTGCCTCCTGCCTCTATCTGCCTCCATTGCATTTAATTTCTGATCTGGAAATATTCCTTTTCTTTCCTTGCTCTAATTTCTGGTCTCCTGTGTCGCTCCGATTTTAGCCTTGGCTTCGCTTGCTTGGGGGATTCCCTTCTCAGCCTTACAGATTTGCCCCACTGCTGATACAAAGCACAGCCAAAGCTGTAAGGCTGTACCGAGTACACGGCAGATAAAAGCAGTCATGCAAAATTCAGCTGCATTGAATTAGTCTTGCTGGTGGGAGGATAATTCCTATTAACCACGTCTATTACAGTAATACCTCAGGATAAGCGAAAGACAGGCAAAGCAGTGAATAGCACAAAATGAGGGAAACTCCCAGCCCTGAATGCTATGTAATCTGAAAAGAGAAGCACGGTAGGAAATATATAATGCATCGGGTGGGCAATACAACAGTTGGTAACTCAATTATTTTTGAGAGTGCGTGGAACCTGAGTGGGACATATTATGTAGAGGAAGAAAGGCTAAATGGAAAGAGAAGTGGAAGGAAGCAAGAGTCTGAGGATAGCAGTTGACACCAGGAGGAAGGGGAGGGAAATATTAGCAATGGAGAACAGAATCTGTCAGGATATAGAAATTATTACCATTTCTTAACAAACAGCAAATATTCTAGCTTGTGGCAAAGCGAATATTTTGGGATGACAAGGGGGAGATGCTGAGTTAAATCAGACCATTGCATTTCTATATGGGATGAAATTTGAATTTTTTTTTTTTTTTTTTTTTTTTTTTTTTTTTTTTTTTTTTTTTTTTTTTTTTTTTTTTTTGGTAGGTCTGAAATATCGTAGGTCTGAAATATCGTACCCAGTCTGGCAGCTTGTGGCAAAGCGAATATTTTGGGATGACAAGGGGGAGATGCTGAGTTAAATCAGACCATTGCATTTCTATATGGGATGAAATTTGAATTTTTTTTTTTTTTTTTTTTTTTTTTTTTTTTTTTTTTTTTTTTTTTTTTTTTTTTTTTTTTGGTAGGTCTGAAATATCGTAGGTCTGAAATATCGTACCCAGTCTGGTGGAAAAATATGTGGTTATTTATGAGCTGCATAAACATTTTCTAAAGTGGGCATCTTCTGCCTTGATTTGGGTCAGCGTTTCAATCGACTCCGCCATTTCAAAACCTACCTCTGTGAAATTTCACCTTCCTCCTTCGGACCCATTTCCCCGCAGTTTCCACAGGTGAAATGAAAGTTGGTGGCCACTTGTTCCTGCTCTCACCTTGTGCTGAGCTGCTTCAGGGAGCTGAAGAGGCAGAAAAAATGTCTGTATTTTGGTGAATGTTAGGGTTGGCTTTTCTGCCCCTCCAAGCCAGCTCCCTGAAGATCGGATACTGATGGGAGAACAAGGATTTTTTCTCATGTTTTCCACCACGGATGTCTGGGTTACTACAAATAATTGCGTATAGATAAGATCCTTGGCTGAGTGGATCTATGCTGCCTTTTTTCCTTGGGTGCATCTGATTCAGAGACAAGCGATGGGCCCCGAGACATGAGAGAGCAACAGCCAGGGGCCTGCCAGGTCCTGCTTCCCCGGGACTCCAGCAGCTCCAGGGATCTGGAGCAAAACCTCCTGCAGGCCACCGACGTCTGGCGCTGGAGCTGTGGACTGGGTTCCTCTCTAAAAATTGTGCAATCGTGGTAATTATACACAAAAAAAGTTAATTACTTAATCATGTGTAACAAGGACCCTTCAGCTACTGAGCGAGGCACACGCTCGGCGCAATTATTCACAGGCATGTAATCTACTTCCCTTTGTATTGAATATTTCATTAGTTACTATTCACATCTTCTCGGAGGTGCTTTGCAATGGCTCAGTGATTGGATTTACTCTAATTTCTTCTTGGCTTGTACAAACGCTGTCGCTACAAACATTCCTCTGTATTTTATCCCTGTAACAAGGATGTTCTTTCCAACCTTCCTGTTGCCAAAGAGAACTCACCACAATGTGAACATCAGGAGCTTGAGGCAATTTTAGGTTCCTGCTTTGCCTTCAAGGTCCTTTGGGTGGATCCCCATGTTTCTGTCCCGTGTCTGTACCGCTCTTGGCACCCTTGGGATTTTGGCCATCACAGGGTGCCTTAGCAGCGGTACAATATGAATAACAAGTAGCAGTAGTAACCAAGGGTCTCTGCAAGTGAAGGAGATTGGCTCTTCTAAAACATTCACTCATTTTAAAGTCGGTCCAGCCATTGCTGGAATCACTCTTAATTTACTCCTGCACAGAACAGGGGTCTGCATAGGAGGAGTACTTATATAGGAGGAGGTGTATCATGGACTTGCATTTTCACTTTGAAATACTTGAATGACTTCTCCAAGCCCAAAGCAGTTTCCTTCTGAACCAGACCCAGCAAACCAGACCCTCTGGTTTTGGAGGGCTTTGGAGCTTCATGGAAGCTGCCCAGCTCTCCCCACCTCTGATGAAGTAGCTGCCTTGCATAATTAATTTGGGAGGGAAGAGCAGCCTTCTCTTAAAGTTAGCGCTTGCGGAAAGTAAAGCAAATCCCGGCTCTCAGTGTTACAACAATTCAGCCTAAACCTAGAAGTATTTATTGGAGCGTGCTGGGCCAGTGCCTTGCTGGAACTGCAGTCTGGGTACTTCATGCACTTGGCCATCTACAGGGGACAGGCTGTAGGGCTGGCCTACATCTCCCATCATGTGCTGCATATGACATACGGACATAGGGAGCCTCACTCAGAGAAGATGGGCATACAGAACAACCAGACCTGCTAATCCCGTGAACCAGCTGCATTCCTCCTACAACATTTCCAGTTCGTGCTTTACAATTTTGCAATGAAACATTTTTTGAAAAGTGCTGAGAAGAAATACTCATTCGCCAGCATTGTCTTGTCCAGCATTTGCCCTAAATGGCAAATTGAACAAATTGAATGTTAACAGCCTCAGAAGAAGGCCTGAGATGTTCTTGGCTAACAACGCAATGACAAGAGGATCTGCCAGATGTTGCACAAGGTGTGCTTCACCTGGCGACATCCAAATGTGAGTTCCTGACAGTGGTTAAGAATTTATAGTGCATTGAATCTTCCAAGGATTTTTGAAAAGAGCTGCTGATCCTATCAGCTAGGCTTCCAGGATAATCTCTGAAATCCAGTGTGATGCTTCCATGAGTTATGGATGTGAATCTGATCTCTCCATTGCCCGTGTAAACTAGAGAGACCACTGAAACCAGTGCCGTTTCACAGCTATGAATAAAGGGAGAATTGGACCCATTTTCTTTCTCTGACTTTACTGAATATAAATCAAGGCACAGACATGCTAACTGCATTACACAGATCCTGGTGACAGTAACTTCTCAGTGCTTGAGAGACAAGAGAAATTGTCGTTCAACTCTGATCATCAGCTTTATTGTATGCCAGCCAGACGATACACATTTCATGCAGACTATACGTTTGCTCCAATCGCCGCTCAGAAGAAAGTGCTCGACTTCATGTGCGTTGGTCCTGCACTAAGGTACTTGGTTCTTGGTCTGTAGCACCAGTGTTTTTGTCAGGGGTCCTGGAAGCAGAGAAAGAGCATCATTGCAAAGCTGTCAGAGCCATCGGCTGGAGCATGACAACAAAATGCCACCCCCCAAGTTGGAATTTGCCCCATGACAAGTGGCTCTGCAGAGCGCTCCCCAAGCAGCCCGCACATGTTTGGTATGTCCTCAGGCTGGTTGGTGAGCCTGGTCCTGGTCCAAAACCCATGGATGTCCACAGAATTGGGAGGGCTGGAGCTCTTGACTTTTTGACCAGCCCCTGGTTCAACGGTGACCAGGATCAGGCCCACCCATCAGCTATGAAAAATGCTTGCCAATTGATTATAACCTGCATCGAACGAGCACCTCGCTGTAAAATTGTCTCACAAAGAAGCAGTTTGTTTCCCTCAAGGCGGATGGTGAAAGCCCTATAACGCAGGGGAGCCGAGCTCTTGTGCTGCTCAGGAAGTACCCGGTGCCTGTTAAAACAACCGACAGGAGAGCAAGCCCAGCTAACACCTGCTAACCCCTGTTTGAGAGCACCCCTCCTCCTCAGTGCCCCCAGGAGACACCAGGAGGTGATGGCGGCACTGAGGCGTTGGATCCCTGTTGGGATGAGCTCCGGGGCCAGCTCTGTCCCTGGGGTAAAACAGCAGAGGTGCATCAGCCTAAGCACCAAGTTTTGATTATGCTTCCCGTGTTACGGGCAAACTATAGCTCCTGTAGAGTGGATTTGGGGTAGTCTTAGATGGGAGCATAAGAGAACAAAGCCCTGGAGTGAGGGTAGATGCTGCCAGGAGAAGCTCTGGACAGGTGCTGGAGGGAAGGTCGGGTCTTGCTGAAGCGCAGAGGGAGATACGGGGAAGGAAAGACCTGTAGGGAACGAGGGAATCAACCCTCATTAGGAGACAGAAAAAGAAGGAGGATCTCCAGGGATGAGGAGAGATGCGTGATGGATGGGGAGGGATCTGTGAGGCTGCAGAAAGCAGATGGAGAGGCAGGAGAAACCTGCTCAGCTTTAAAATGGGCAGCTTTGCACAGCGGTTGCATTAAGGGACTGTGGAAATCCCCTTTGTCCCCCAGCCTGACGCTGGCTTTGCGTAGGGAATGGTTCCAGCCCGCAGGTTAAAGGAGGGAAGGAGAGGCTGACACCAGGGCCAGGAGGAGAGGTGCTAGTTACCATCTCCTTGGTCCATGAAACCAGCCCAACCCGGACACGTGAGACTAACCGTCCCTGCGTGAGAGGCTCATGGGGCAGGACCATGTGGAGAGCCCTGGCAGGACAGCTCTTGCTCAAATACTTACCCTCGGCCTGCCCTTCATGCTTACAGTGAAGAGACATTTGCTGCCAGAAGCTGTTGGCAGAGGTTGTCATGGCCTTTCCCCTGTGTCTCCAATGTAGGAAAACTGCCGAGTCCTTCCAACCTACCAGTTCCCATGGGAATGAGGTGAGCCCAGCATCGTAAGTCAAGGGTTTAGGGGAAAATGCAGGGCAGCTCCTCTTTGGAAAGATGCCCCACTGTCAGGTCAGACCAGGTCCATACTGCTGATGCACAGACATCTGCTAGGACAGGACCTGTTGCCTGGTCTCCAGAGAAGGCTGGAGATGTCTGCACTTCTTGCCAGCGAAGAGCGTGCCCAAGGCTGCCAGCAGCTACTCCAGATGCCAAGCCACCCCCTCTGAGCACGTCCTCACATCTGCTCTAGTAAGGGAGGATGCAGTAACTATGGAGCCCGAGCTCATGTCTTCTGTGCCAGTGTGCATGTGATGCTCCAGGTTGTAGGTGGGTCAATGCCAGACTAATCCCACCTCTTCCCTGGGCTTGGTGTCCAACCCTGCTCTTGCTGTTGCTCTGCATTTCAGAATAGAGTTTGAAAGCCAAAATAATCTCTCCCTGGAGGAACACAAACTGTTTGAAATCACCCTCCATCAACATTTCCCTTAGCCCCTGCTAGAGTCACCAGGGGAATTCACCCTTCTCAGCAGCCTTGGCGTGGTACCTCTCTGTTGAGGCAGCCATGAAAGCTGGTGCACGCGGTGCATGTTTGCATGGTGGATACTTCCTTCATTTTAATTTGTTGGCTCTTTTCTCATGACTGTGTGCATCCTTCAGCCATGTACCGCAGCCTGGCTAAGACCCAGCCTCTTGGAGGAGAAAGAGGCTGTGTCCCATCCCCATCCCCTGGCTTCCTCTTTGTTTGCATCGAATACAGATAATTGTGTGATTGTCCTTCCCAGTAAAGCTCATTCTGAACCTGTTTTAAACTGGAAGGAGTGTGAGGGGGAGGTAATCACACTATTTTCCCCAGGAATTGGTATCCCGGGACAACACAGCATTGCACAGCCTCTCACCAGGAGGAGAACACCCCTGGCTGCTCTCTACAGGGCTGCACAGCGAGGTCCAGCCCTGGGTACCAGCCTTGGGAAGGGAGGGTGAAAATCGGAGGGTTGAAAGGAAAGCCTGACCCTGAAAAGTAACGAGACCTAACACAGAAACAGCAACATTTACAAATGATCTTTGTCTTAGCCAAGCGAGGAAAGGGTTGGGAGATCTTTGCCCTCACGAGGGCTGCTGGTGGCAAACCGTTGCCTGGTGAAACCCATGCGTGTAGGAGAGGTTAATTATGTGATTAAGGACAAGGTGAGAAATGGAGAAGAGATGGATTGGAGGCGACAGATCATTACTTGGGTTACGGCTGAGAGAGAGATGCAGAAAGGGTACGAAATTCAGCAGGGGTTCGTTTCCCAGAAGCAGCACCTGGTGTCTGGAAACAAAGGAAGGATGACCACCATGAGCACACGTAGCACGGTCTCCTCTTCGCTGGTCCTGGTGTAACAGCAGGCAGCACACTGGGATCAGCCAGTTCAGAGCAGTGCTGATGGGTGACATCCCATGCAAGGACTTTGCTCTTGAGACTTGGGGTCTGAACTTGCCTCTGATGCTGATGGGCTGCAGCAACGTCATCCCGTTCTTCACGGATGTGGAGGACCTGCTCACGGCTCATCCCCGTTCCTCCGTGGACTCGGGTCTTGGTATTTTGGTGGCCTCATATCAAACGAGAGCTGATATGGCCTTTCTTTCCCAGGGAATTCAGGTGAGGAGACAGCTCTCCTCTGTGGAGGAACTGATCTTTTGGTTAGGGCCCTCGCCCAGGAGGACAGTGGCAGGTTCAGGTTCCTCAGAAGATACAAACTCATTGATTCCTGGGCAAATGCAATTAACAATGAGGTTGCAGGACATGGCGAGTGACTCCTCTCTTCTGAATGCTGGATGGCCCTTTGTGCATTGAAGTTTGCTGTCTGTGCTAACAGTGACAAAAATACAAGTCGTCTTGTATTAAGGCCTGGAAAGTGGCCTTAACGTTGTACTCAGTATCTGGTCTGTTACACCCCTTGGAAAAGGCAACAGCATCAAATGGTGGGGCTAAAGCTGCAAGTTGCAACAGGGGAGTGAAGCATTTCAGCCTGGGCCTGTATCTAAGCAAGCAGAGGGGTTGCTATCGCTTGCGTTAAGTTGGGTGTGCCCTGGAAACGTGCACCAGTTTGGGACCAGCAGGGGCTGAGGGAGAAGAAGGTGTCTGGTTGTGAAATCTGACCTGATGTAGGTGTGAGGTGAGCAGCAAGGAGCACATTTAAACACATGTCCACCTGCAAAGCAGCAGATATACATGCACTTACAAAGCCCTGCTAGCAGAAATTCAGATGTTAGAAGACTTCAATGTACCCCCAAGGTCAGCTAGGGACCTCAGTGGCACGCAGGAATATTGTCCTAAATGCCATTCAGTCCCTAAAACTGTGCAGCTGAGATTTTTGGCAGCTGTTTTAGGTTGTTCTAGAGCTTTTTCACTCTTGGAGTCTAGAGTTTGGAGGAGGAGGCAGCAGCACTCTGAAAGCACGGCAGGTGGGCCATGGCGAGACACGGGAAAGGATGCAGGGCATTACCTACACCAAGGGATCTTCTTTCCCACTACCTCTTTCCAGTGTCTACACTGAAATCCCTAGAGCCTGGGGATGTCAAGCACAACCCAGCTGCAGGTCTCGCTTGTTCTAGATGTTCTCCTCACTGTTGTCCTCACTGATGAGGATTGGATGTCCCCACACATTTAATCTCTTCTGTCTGCTCTTGCACAGCATCACTGAAGGAAGCCCAGGGGACCGAGCACTGCCTGATCCTTCTTCCATCCATGTCCACCAACCAGCTTCGGTTTGGCCTTGAGTTAGGTCTTTAGACCTAACTTCTGCAGGTGGCCCATGAAACCAGACTGATGGCCATGCTGTGAGCTCAGCTCCTCACTCAGCATGATAAGGAGTCTCCTTTGCTTTCTGGCAGGGTGGTGTCACACTACCTGCAGTGAGGATGACAGTAAGGGTAGAGGAGCTGATCTGCTCCTGCATCTTTCCACGTGTGTGTGGAGCAGCTGGGAAGAAGCGCCATCTCCATGTGCACTGATAGCTCCAGCCAGCACAGACCAAACTAGCACGTTCAGGCAATAAATTAGGACAAGGAGGGAGCAAGGAGCCACCTGGGACTCAGTCACAATTGGGTCCCTGCTGTACTCACAAGTTGAGGGGACCGCAGGCAAGTCTAGTCCTAGCCTGGGGTGGAGGAAGCAGATGTTCTGGGCACCTTCTGAACCACAATAAGCCTCCTGGGCATCCATCTCTGAAACATATCCTGCTGCTAAGCCAGATTCTGCTTCTTTCCCTGAGAGGTGCATCTGCTTGGATTCCCACCGACACACTTCTGTATTGCACCGGGAAATGAAGTTCCTTTAACATCGGCTGCTTCTGCTCTGGGCTACAAGATTTCTCCTTCATTCTCCTCAGTTGCTGCATTTGTTGAGCCACCTGGCAGCCCAGGACATCTCTGCACGAAGCTGGAGAAAGGCCAACCTCTTTATCAGGTGCACCAGAATTGCAAAGGACAGAAGGTCAGGCAGCTCTGAATACGCTGGGCTCCAACACAGACAACAGAGCCTGCCTCTGTGGCTGTGAAAAAGAAAGGAAGGTACCGTGGAACAAAAACACGAGCAGAGC